GAATGACTCTTTTATTAAACCTCCCTCTTATCAAAATTTATGTCAACATACCTGATAACTTCAGACATTTGCTCCCTGTGTGCCAAGTCAGGAGTTGAATCAAACAAAATCCCGTAGTATTTATTTTTTCTGATGTTAATCAGCAATTGATTTCTCACATTCGAAGCAAGAATGCTGATGAACTCATTCTGAATTTCTGGAGATAAATATGTAACAGATCCTGGATTCTTTCTAGCATGGTCAAAGTGTGACTGCAAAATTGGGTCATACTGAGCTAGAAGTTGAAGAACAGACAAAAAGTTTCCTACATTTTTGTCTCCTGTGGCATTAAGTTTCTCAATATGTCCACGCAATGCCAAGTTTTGAGTGGCCAAGAATTTTATACAATTTAGTATTCGCTTCAAAACATCTCGCCATCGTGCCACCTCTGACTGAATTTCAGCTTCAAGAGATGCATCGATTGTTTTCCCTTGAATCAATCTGCGCTCTGCTTCTTTCTATGCATTAAATGATTTCCGGTGGAAAGGATTGTTCTCGTGAGCTGCTAGTTTCTCTGGCTTCCTCCACTTGCTGAATCCATTAGATAATTCAAAAGATGATTTATTATTTGCACTCGATGAGGGAAATAACAAGCAGCAAAAACAATACACTGCTTCATTCAATGGTGAATAAACTAGCCAGACCCGATTCATCTCATCTCCCTTTCCATTGGCAAGTCTCCGCTTGAACCATGGCTTCGTCATAGAACGGCCGTCTTTCTTAGCAAATGGACCATTATTATTTTGAAATACATTAGAGCCTCGAGATACCATTTCTGTGTAGAGCTGTTGAGAAATTATAGGCAATTGTGACGTTTGGTCGAAATCCAAATAGCCAACAAATAGCAAACATAAGCACAGCTGGAATTGGATTTGGTCTATGAGAAATGATATCATTTTCTTCTTCTACTTCAGAGTTAGATGAAGTTGATAAACTGCTACTGTTCTCTATGTTTTGCTGATTCATCAACATCAGTATCCTGAGGCTGTTGGCTTTCTTCTGGTGTTGACTTTGCCTTCTTCAAAAAACAATCCAGGAGTTTGCTGGACTTACTAGCTTCTCTTGTTTCATTTGCCTTTCTTTTTCTTCGCTGAGCTCCACTAGGCCTTTTTCCAAACATATCTGGGATTAAGAAAAACTTTTATATAGGATACACAATATTAATAAATAGTTATTTATATAATTAACAATAAAATTTTCTAGTAAATTTTAATACAAGTTTCTTAATTTTATCCCTGAGCAGTTTACTGTGAATGCCCAGTGGCGTTTATATGGAGGGGATGGGCAGTGATGGGCAACTAACTAAATATTTTTAATTAAACTATAACTATTTTTCAACTAAAAATAAGTAGTTAAACTAATAGTTATAAACTTTTTTCAAAAAGTAGTTAACTAAACTAAAAAAAAGTAGTTATACTTTTTCCAACTATTTTGCAACTATTTTTATATTTACTTTTTTACAGACATAATCTAAAGTGGCATTAATACTAACATAACAAACTATTCAAAACATGTCTTTTCAAAGTGAAGTATTAAGCTGTATTTCAAAAATGCGCTAAAAATAAAATCATTAACTAACATAACTTGTCATCATAAAATTTAGGCCAAATAAATTATTTAGTGTTTAAAACCAACTTAATTGAATATAGACAATTACATAAATGTATTTATTAAAATATTTTTAACAAAACAGCAACAAATTTTAAAGATTAAACAACTAACCAACCATCAGCGTCAACCTTCAACACAGAGAGGAAACAAGACATCAAACAGTCCGAAACATTGGTAAAAACCAAAAACATTGAATGTACTTTGCTTTAAAAATATGGAAAGCTTAACTTTTTACAAATTAAAATTAATATTCAAAAACCATAAGTCAAGACATGGATAAAAGATATTTATCTAAAATATTTTAGTTAAACTATTTAGTTAGCAACTAAAATATTTTTTTTAGTTAAACTAGGAAGGAAACTAAAAAAAAGTAGTTAAACTATTAGTTTGCAGCTATTTAATTAAACTATGCCCATCACTGGTAATAGCAGGTATTTGTAGGCAGCTATACTGACTAACCCAATGCAGCTATACCACAAAGATACTGTACTATAGACTATAGAGCATAATCTATACAAGCTTTTAACTGCACTGTGACTGACCTGTTCTAAAGGACAGGCACAGAAATTGCTAGGTAAAGCAAAATAATAATAAAAAAACCTTTTTGGTCACTGATATTTTGGTCACTGATATTGTGCCCCCCAGCCCTGCGCCCGGGGACAACTGTCTCCCTCTGCCCTCCCCCTCGTTACGCCACTGCTATAATATACAATTAGACTCAATTAACTTTTTGATTATGTTATTAATTATTTTGCGCAAATAGTTAGCAATTATAAATCTGTCTAATTTCTGTGATTTTTTAGAATGAAACAGTAGTTATATCAAGGTTTGATTTAAAGTAATAATTTTTCAGGTAACAATTCTAATGAAGATGAAAGCGCTATTGAGGATTTGTATGCTGCATCACGTTACAGAGCAGTAACCGGTGTACTGGGCTCTCATGCAGAAAGTCGAGATCTACAAATTATCAATTTATCAATTACATTTCATGGAGCAGAATTGCTTACAGATACTAAATTGGAATTGAACAATGGCAGGAGATATGGCTTGATTGGACTAAATGGATGTGGTCTGTTAACTTCACATAATGCCATATCTGTTTATGTGTGTTATATATATATATATATTGCATAGCTGCAGTGAAACTAAATTGCATTGTTGGACTAACTTTATTTTATAGCTACAATTCGTAGAATTAATCAAAAGACTTACAGCTTGTGCTTACATGTCAATTATTATTATTATCATAATAAGTGTTACTGGTGAAAAAGGATGCTTGGAAAAGTTAATTAACACGAGCTTCTAAAGATCTCACTTCATCGATGAATTGGCTTTCGAGTCTGGTAATCTATTAATAGCATGCATTTTTTGCTTGACTCTTACAATCAGGCAAGTCGTCGTTGATGTCTGCCATAGGAAACAGGGAACTACCAATCCCTGACCACATTGACATATTCCACCTTCAAAGGGAAATGGCTCCAAGCGACAAGACTGCTCTCCAGTGCGTTATGGAAGTTGAAGAGGAAAGAGTTAGATTGGAGCATGAAGCTGAACATTTCTTAATTCTGAAGGTTTTTCTATTATTTCTTACTGAATATTCATTAATTTTTTTTTATGTTGAATAAATCAATTTCATTATCATTGTTAGTCAAACTTAATATAAGGATCATGTTGTTAATATGATAACAACATAATTTTAATTTTTCCATTCTGTGAGTTGATGGACTTTATTTATAAAGTTTGAGGATTCTATGAGCTGATTGAACTCTAAATTTATAAAACAATTTGTTTATTTTTTGGCTTTTTATGTGGAATCAAATTAATTAAAATAAGGCTTTCTTCATTCATTTTTACATCCTGTTGTATAAATAGTCTTGTGAAATAATTAAAATATAATGAAATCTTAGCTTGGCTCTTAAAAACAGGAATATTTTGCCAAAATGTTTTCCAGCCTGATTTGCATCAGTCTAATTATCAACCTACCTAAATTACAATAAAGCAAACCAGAAATGTTTCTGCATAATGGGATGAAGCTACGACAAAGCAATTTGATTTATAATGTTACTTGAAAATTTTTGTAATTTCAGAAACGCACGATAGATTGATGGATGTTTATGACAGACTAGAAGACTTGGACGTATCCACAGCTGAGACCAGAGCGGCCGAAATACTTAATGGTTTAGGATTTTCTAATGCCATGATGCTTCAAAAGGTAGAATAAAAACTTTTTTTTAATGGTTTTCCATCTTTTGTATCAACTCTTTATGTCTTTAGGCACGTTTGTTTCATTTTCAAACTATTTCAAATTATTTTGCTATATTTTTATACGGTTTAGCCTAAAATGTTGTTTTGTTCTCACTTGCTTCATGTGACAGGTGAAGAACTTCTCAGGTGGATGGCGCATGAGGATTGCCCTGGCGAGGGCTCTTTATATCAAACCTGCATTAATGCTTTTGGACGAGCCAACGAACCATCTGGATCTGGAAGCTTGTGTTTGGCTTGAACAGTACTTGACCTCGTAAGTTCATTTTGCTGCTCTCAAGTCATCCACTCTATTTTTTCCTATTTTCATAATTATATTATGATTTAATTTCTTTGCTAATTGATTATCAATATAATTAATAGTTGCAAATTAGTAAATTATTACAGGTTAAATTATTATATTACATTCTACAGAACAACTTTTTGTCCTTTTTTGCATTCTTCTCTTCAGACATTTCTCTGACATTGGATGTTTCTTTTTCTGGTCTGCTGCATATATATTCATCTCATAATTTGTTACACACATTTCAGTATACTGTTGTAACCTCCTCGACCTCGTAACTACCAACACCGCTGTTATAACTTAAATAAATCTCTATATCCCCAATACCGTGTTGTAGCTTCCAACGATAGCCAAAACTTCTTTTTTCCGTAGGTTCAAGATTTCCGATACTTGAACACAACTACTTCAAACGCAAACTAAGTTGAACGTTTATTTGAAGACCTGCAGTAATAGAAACAATGAATTAATCCAAATAACCACATAAATCACATTTATGACTTCGCATCGAATCTCACTTCTACCTCAACTGTTACCACTCTCTGCTTCTTCGTTGTTCTCTTCTGGGACCTCTTCTCTTTATATATTGCTACCGATGTGCTTGTCAATGTGCCAAATAAAAGTGTCAGGCCCTGAAATGAATTTACAACCCTTTAGTTATTTACATCCCTCGAATTAATTTACAGGATGTTCATTCCTCAGTGCATGCCTGACAATTTTTAACTATTAGTCTTTATCTCGACCTCACGTCTGTAACATTACATTTCAATGCATTCATCCTTCAGCTGCTGCCTCACACACACCCTTGCAGCCTTCTGAGTTCTGCTATCTGCATGTGGGTGTTTTAGGATTGTCTTGAGACAATAATATTATTACTATTATTATTAGTTTTTACTAAAACATTTGCTTGCAAGAAATACATGTTAACATAAACAAAAATACAAGCAACAGTTTATTTGATGGTGGTCGAAATTGAACGATGTTGTAGGTACAAGAGGATTCTGGTCATAATCTCACACTCGCAGGACTTCTTGAATGGCGTTTGCACAAATATTATAAACATGCACCTGAAGAAGCTGCAATATTACGGGGTTGGTTCTTTTGATCATGCAGCAAAAGTTAATCTTTTCAAATTAATAGTCCATTTTTAGTAGAACTTTGTATGTTTCTTTTGCATTATGGAGAACTATTATTAGCATGAATTTGTTTAGTGTTGCATCATTGGCATTAATTTTTGAAAATTTTGAAAATTTTTACATTTATTATTTTTTTTATTTTTACACATTAAAATGGATTGCAAACATTTGCTATGCAGTTGAACATAACGCATTCTAGGGTAGTAGGTAAAATTTATGATCTACTGAACGAAAAATGATGTAAGAACCAAGTTATTTATTAGCAAACATGTTTGAAATGGTAATCAAATTTTATTTAATTGTACAAGTTGAATGAGTTTTTTATAAACAAGGTTGAGTTGATTTGTCCATTTTTTATTCATGTTCTGATTCTTTTCGCTTATTTTTAAGTTTTTATATTATCCTAAGGGTAACTATGATACATATATTCAAACGAGATTTGAGTTGGAGGAAAATCAAATGAAGAAGTTTAAATGGGAGCAAGATCAAATTGCACACATGAAGGTAATTATTTTATTTCAAAATACCATGGCTTATGGCTATATGTAAATGTAATCAATTATTTGAATTTTTTATTGAAAAATAAATGAGGCTCTTGGATGTTAGCCATGCCTTAAATCTCCTTGTCTCTATTTTAATGCCATAAATATTATGAAGTTACTGAGTTTCATTATTTATTAGTGAAGATGGACTTGAGATGCTCAGGAATGAATGTTTTTTTTAATATGTTAAATGTGTGCTGTGATTGCATAGTGGTGCTTGTGTTAACATAAGTTGTGTAATGTTGTTTTGAATGGTTGTTCACATGGCACAGATCTATATACATTGGCTCATTCGTTTGTTCACATTGTACTAAATTACAGTGGTTTCGATTTTATTTGTCCACATGACACAGAACTACATTGCACGATTTGGTCATGGCAGTGCCAAATTGGCCAGACAGGCTAAAAGTAAAGAAAAAACGTTGCAGAGAATGGTGGAAGGAGGACTTACTGATAAAGTTTCATATGATAAGGTTGAATTATATCTTCATTCAATCAATCAATCGATCAATCAATATGCAAAATGGCATTAAAGAATAGCTTAAAATGATATATATATATATATATATATATATATATATATATATATATATATATAAAATTGTGAAGCTTCTTCTAACATATTATCTAAAAAACATAGATTTTCGTGTTCGTCGTAATATTCTTTTCTCAATTCATCATCGAGTTTGATGCAAATTTTGCGATAACCGTTGATAGGTTTGATAGAATTAATTGTATTTATTATTGCTCACTTCGTAGATAGAGCTTCGTGCAAACTTAAATCTTTCATCTCTTCAAGTAGGACATACCATGTTTCTTTATTTTCCGATATGCCCGCTAATTCAAATTCGTCATTATTTCTTTTAATAATATGAAAATACAACTTACTGGTTATTGAAGCCATCTTCTTTTTGGAATTTAATTTATAAGTTTGCTTTCGAATAACCTGATTTGTTAATCTAAAATAGAAAATCCAAATGAGTGAATAAAGAACATAAATAAAATCAATTGAAACAATATCAAATATTACAGAAATTATAAATGAATAACCAACCTAAAATAGAAAAATTAAATTCCAGGATCGTTTACAAGGCCAACAATAATAAAATATTACCACGTGCAATAATAAAATATGACCACGTGCTATTTGCATTTATATATAAGATGATACCAAAGTAATGAAACCTAATTTACAAGCACAGAATAGAAATACATAGATAATTATATGAAATATAATTTACATATATATATATATATATAAAATTGTGAAGCTTGATGAGTCTTTGGGATTCAAAAGTAGTTAGGGAAGGAATAACTTTTCAATCAGTCAATCAATCTTCGTTTAGCGTCCAGAGACCCAGTTCCCCCGAGGTAGGACGTGATAACTTTTAGGGGAAGGGATAACCTTTAATAAAATAAAATAAATTGCTTGTTGCTGGTCACAAAAGTACATTTTGAAGTTTGTTTAAAATGGCGACATTAGTATGAACAGACCTGGCTTAGGAATTAAATGTGATCAGAGCTGTAAAAATGGAGAGATGCCATAGAAAGGTAAAACTTGGTTAGCAGGTAGCACTACCCTATTATAAGAAAGAACATTAATGATAATCCCTGAATCATTTAATGTGCATGAAATATATTTTGAATTATGCACTTGTTTTAAAACATATTCAGACACTGAGTTTTTATTTCATGGATTGTGGACAAATACCTCCGCCAGTCATCCAAGTGCAACATGTCAGCTTCAGATATAAAGACGATGGGGTTAGTAGTTTTTTTGTTTTGTGTCCTTCTTTCAATTTGGTCATTGTTGGATTAAATTGCAGAGTTGTCCACCATTCACCTTTTTAATTTTATATATTATACATTGTTCGTATGTCGCTATATTAAATTTCTTTCTTTACTATGTTCCAATTTCTTAAAATTTGAACTAAAATTTTTTTTGAATTTTATTGACTCGTCGTATATTTATTGTTGCATGCTATATTTGCAATTTCCTTTTGATTCCTCACAAAACATGATGACCAAAAGGCCGAGGTGTAGATGGAGCAGTCAGTCAGAATGAGCTTTCGATATTTAATGTATCAAGTTCTTCTGATTTACAATTGCTTCCATCCATGCCCTCAACAACCAAGCGATCACTTCTGATTTTGTGCATGTGCTATTTTATATTTTTTAATAAATGTGTTAAATTTTAATTCATTTGTTTCTTATGTGCTCACTTATTTCACTAATATTTTCATTTTTTAAGCATTTTTTCTTTTAAATTATAAAAACTCTCAAACTGTTATTACAAAGTTTTGTTCTGGTAAGAACAATCCAGATAAGAGTGAGTTTAATAGATAATTTTCTCACAAACTTTTTGATCTTTTTACTCTTTCTCACATTAACGCTCTGACTGAAAACGAGATGGAAAGAAATTGTACTGATTTATTTATTACTTACACTTTGATTGTCATTGTATTTCGGTTTCATCATAGGTAGCCAAACGGCAACCCCCGGTCTCGGGGAAAATATCGTCTAAACGTGTGTTGTTGTTGTTGTCATTGTGAACAGAGGTGTGGTTACTACTAACAAAGATGTTTCACTTATCTGATCTAATTCAATTTTTTTATTTACACAAAATTAATTGAATATTATTTATTTCCAAGTTTTAACAAATTCTCTTTCTATTTTCAGCCTTTGATATACAAGAACCTTGATTTCGGTCTAGATTTAGACACAAGGATTGCCTTGGTAGGACCTAATGGTGCAGGCAAATCGACACTCTTGAAACTTATTGCAGGAGAGGTGCGTACGTTTTATGATATGCATGCGAATGTTTCTTGATGCATGGTCGGGAAAAGAGTGGTGGCATCATTAGCAATTTTGTTATTCTTAAAAATATAACATCTTAATACCCCACCCAAATTTAGGGAACTGTGTGGAAAGAAATGGTCAGTGAAGGTATTGTGTGGAAAGAAATGGTCAGTGAAGATGAAAGGGAGGGTATATAAAGCATGTGTGAGAGCAGCGATGGTATATGGTGGTGAAACTTGGGTGTTGAGGAGAGAGGAAGAAAGTGTACTGAAGAGGGCTGAAAGAGCTATGATGAAGATGATGTGTGGGGTTAAAGTGAAGGATAGGAGGAGTAGTACAGAGCTGATGTCGATGATGGGACTGAATGAGGACATTGATAAGGAGATCGAGATTGCGGTGGTATGGACATGTGTTGAGAGGGGATGAAAGGGTCGGGATTAGGCGAGCGTTGGAGTTCGAGGTTGAAGGAGTGGTAGGAAGGGGTCGTCCGCGATTGGGATGGAGAGAGCAGGTGGAGAAGGACAGGGTGAAATCGGGGTTGCGTGATACTGAGGCGAGTGACAGATGTGGATGGCGTCGAGGGGTATTTCGGTTTCATCATAGGTAGCCAAACGGCAACCCCCGATCTCGGGGAAAATGTCGTTTAAACGTGTGTTGTTGTTTGTTGTTAAAAATATAACATCTGGCATGGGTCCTCTTTCTATTTATTTGAAAGAACTTACTTGAAAAGATTGTTTTTTATATATGCGTTGTTCTTTTACGCTAACTCATTGAAAATAAATCACAGATTGAATGAATTGAATAAAATTTCTTATCCAGCACCACCCATGTTCTGGTCTGATACGTAGACATTCTCATTTGAAGATTGGCAGATATCATCAGGTATGTTCTTTTCGCATTTATATTGTAATTGTATTGTTCTCTTGTTATATTATTATTATCATTTTTTGTCATTGATATTATGTGATTATATTTTTACTATATCGTTATTAGGTTGTTGTATTGTTTTTGTTGTTGTTGTTAAAATGTTGCACACTCTTACATTATTCACGTGTTTGTTATTAGTCATGAAATTTGAATTTAATCTAATCTGCACAAACACAAAACTTATTATGGAAAAATGCTCCTGTGTTGGTTTGTGATTGATTACAAATAACTAAGATTTAGTTAAGATTTAGCTTACTACGTTTGTATAAGCCTTTACAACTGCCTTCTGAAAACTATTTATAGTGGCTACCGTACAATAATTTTCTGCTTCACAAACATGCATCCATTATTTAATTAATGTTCAATTTTTCTTTTTACTTGCTTTCACCAACGTTAAAATTAAAAAAAAATATTTGCATAGTTTACGATAAATGTAATGAATAATGAATTATTCCATATGATATTTTGTTTAAAAATTTAAATTTTATGTAATTTTATATTGAAGTGTTTTTGTTACTCACATTGACTTAAATTTCTTTTTTGTTGTTTTTTTTTCCAAAACACTTTAACAGCTATCTTATGCATTTGTTTGATTTTTTCGCTATTAAAATATATATGGTTTTAAATGTGTGTTTTAAAATGAAAAATTATAAACTGATGCCAAATATTTTTTTAAATGTAAACTTTTCAAATTGTTTACAACCCAGCACTTGCACGAGATCCTCGACCTGAACATGTCAGCGTTGGATTGGATGATGAAATGCTACCCAGATATGAAGGAGAGAGAAGAGATGAGAAGGATCATAGGTAGATACGGTCTCTCAGGCCAACAGCAAGTATGCAAAACATTTTATGATGCCTATATATTGTTGAGATTCAATTGAATGTAATCATTAATCTCTTTCAAATCTTAACATAATTTTTTATGAGAATTTTTCATCTAGCGTTTGCATAATAGTTTTATACATTGCTTGCTTCAACATTTTCCACTCTGTACAAGCGTGTGAATGTGATTTGTTATTAATTTGTAATTGTTGTTTATTCATGAGCAACAGAGTATGATTATGTATTTTATATTAATCTTTATTGAATCTGGAAAAATATCCAAGAGTCGTATTGATATTGTTTAAAATGTCATCTAATTAGGTAGAATTTTTTAAGATTTTGAGCTCTGATGAGAGTTTACCTTTCCAGCACGTGGAAAATATTGGCTCTGGCAGGCTTCTTTGCATTTTCTCCAGCCTCCCAAGAACCTCACGTCATGGATAATTTGCTTCTTCTATTCATCTTCTTTTCTTCCGCTTTTGGCATGACCATATCTAGCTGAATTTATTCTTATTATGACAATAATGAAAAGCTCAGAAAACATAGGAATTGTTAACGCAAAGGAATTAAATAGAATTTTAATTATAAAATAATATAATTAAGTCAGAAATCCAATCTGCATTATTTGTAGTTGTAAATGTTTCAGATTTTTTAATTTTTAACTTAATTTATTCCTAAGACGTCTCCCCTGAAAAATCTGTCTGATGGTCAGAGGTGCAGGGTGATATTTGCTTGGCTGGCGTGGCAGAGACCTCATTTGCTGCTCTTGGATGAACCGACCAACCACTTGGACATGGAGACGATTGATGCTCTTGCTGAAGCTATCAATGATTTCGAAGGCGGCATGATGCTCGTCAGTCACGACTTCAGGCTCATTTCACAGGTTTTTGTAATTGCTTTGAATTTAAAATTTTTGGAAAACATTCCCAAAGATTCTATCTACACTGCATTTATTTGTGGGATATAACCGCTAACATTGAAAAGTCATTTGAATTTAGTTAATAAAAATAATGGTATACGTTTTAAAATCATATTTATTTTCTAAAGTATCATAATTGTTTATGAATATTCATCTCAAGATTTTAGCTGACGGTATATTTTTCCATATGGGATGCTATAGCGTAATTGGATAATGTGCTTTTTTTTGTTTTTCTGAATATATACAGGTTGCTGAAGAAATTTGGATTTGCAAAGATCAGAAAGTTACCAAATGGGAAGGTGATATTTTTAGTTACAAAAATTCTCTGATCAATGCACTGGAAAAGACGAAAAGCAAAACCAAATAAATTGTTTATAAATTTTTTAGGCAATAATTTAATTTTGAATGCTTTAAATGTTTTTATTTTCATTCATTTTTTGGTTTCTCTTCATAGGAAATTTTACTAGGAATGGTTGTCGATATTTTGTTTTTAATAATTAACAAAATGTAATCATTTCAATTTTCCAGTATGACGATGTTGAGAAATAAAATTTATTACAAAACCGCCTCGTGTTGCATTTCACTTGAACGCTTTTTAACATTTTCAGGAAATGGTTCATATATATATATATATATATATATATATATATATATATATATATATATATATATATATATATATATATATAAATTATTAAAAATTGTGACATGCTTCAAATGGGTGGGCATAAAAATTCGTGACTGGGGGTGTCAGAATCGTAAAAAATACGCGACATCCTCTGCGAATGGCGTTTTTATAATAATAACACTAATAAATAATAATAATGAAATGATTGAATGATTGGTATTATGTATAAATAGATGGATCGATTGATGAATTGAAGGAATGAATGATTGACTATTGAATTAGAGGTCTACGCGGAAACACATTTCTGTTCCCTCACTTGCCCCTCCTGAAAATGAATTTTACCGCACCCATTCCCCCACAAGTCTTCCCTCACCCGCACTCATTCTCTCACAAGTCTTCCCGCACCCATTCCCTCACATGTCTTCCCTCACAAATCCTCATTTTCCCGCACTCATTCCCTCAATAATTATATCATTATTAACAAAGACAATAAAGTATCCTTAGTCGGTATTATGTAGTACATTCCATGTACAATTTTTATTATAAAAACAAACAAAAATACTAATAACAGTTAGTGTTTCAGTAAATTGTTTGTAAATTTAATACCACTCCTTGACTGTTGAGAAAATAAATACGTTATCCGCTGACTTTCGGAAGATATTAACTTGTTGACTGCTGATTTGTCCATATTTACCAAACTGCTAACACGAGGTCGTCGCCGAAATAATAAAATGAAAATAGAACTCGCTGATCACGTATTTATCTGTGTAAACAGCTGATAAAGACAGATTCTGTATTCAAGGTGCATACTTAATATAATTGGTTACGTGTCCTTCCGTGTTATCACAATGAATATTATTTAGCGTAATGCACATGCATCTGTGAGCTTGCTTAGCTTTAAACTTAGTAATAATAATCTAACTTTTTCAATTGCGTAGCTGTTCAAGCTATGAAGTTTCTCATTAATTTTCAACATTTTTGGAACTTCGCCATCAAATTCAAGTCAACTGCGGTTTTTCCTCTAAAATTTTTCCCGTCCCGCGGTATTTCCCGCACGAAAAATATCCACCCCGTGGTTTTCCCTCGCTTTTCATTCCCGCCCCGCGAGTTTCCCTCCAACTTCTGTTCCCAACCCGCAGTTTTTCCGCGGGTATTTGCGGGAAAATTTGCGGGAAATTTTCCATGTCGAACTCTATATTGGATAAATAGACGTGAGTTGAATTATTTCCAAATAATCCACGCCTCATCAGTGACAAATTGTAAAAATATATATCCGGTAAAGAGAATGTGTCCAAGCAGCTAAATTAAAATTAAGTACAAATTTAAAAATAGTTTTAATGATCATTGTTGCAAACGGTGCATGACTGCGTCGGTCGTGACGAGCTTTCGTGCTTCGTTTCATTGTAAAGGTATGAATGTATGATTTAACAATAATTCAGAATCAGAACATCTTTTATTTTGAAACTTCGTTAACATTCAAAATATAATAACATGAAAGTAGCTGAATGTTAAATGAATTAATTGAAGTTATAATTTGTTATCTTGATGTTATACAAATGAGTTGAAATATTATTAGGAGAGAAATTGATAATAATGATGATGTATTAATTACATTGGTGATTACATTCATTATAGAGACTCGTCAAAATGACTTCAAATAATTTCAGCGTCCTTACAAAAGAAAATTTAATCATGAAAAGTTTTTCCTTTTTGCAATGAATACCAAACGATTAAAGCAGGATGTTTTCCGTGCAGCTGGTTTTTCATGTCCGCTGGCATCGTAGGCAGTTTTGTCATTACTTCTGTTTAAAATCTGGACGTTTCTCATTTAATCTATTTATGGTCAGTACATAAGAACATCAAAAGACGAGAATAATATTAATAATTGTAATAAAAAATGAATATTTTTTAGAACTATTTCATGTTATGTATATATATATATATATATATATATATATATATATATATATATATAGTTATTAAGAAATATCACCGCATTTTCCGCATTGTTGAGTTTGTAACTAAGTTTTTCAGTTTTTCGAACAATTATTTTATCGATATTATTCAATTTATTCAAATTAATAATAAAATTTCTAAAGTCTGTAAATGCGGTGATATTTCTTAATAACTGTATATACAAAAGTCTGAACCCAAATATATATATATCTATTACCGCATATATATATATATAATTATATATATATATATATATATATATATATATATATATATATATATATTATTGATGAAAATCACAGCATACTCGTATTTTTGTTTATTTTATGCAAAAATTTTGGTTTTGAACAAAGGAAACTTGAAAGGGATTTACGATCAATCGTTAGAAAAAGCGTAAAGTTCAATTGGAAGTTAACTAACGCCGAACATGCTGTGATTTTCATCAAGAATTGCATTTCTGACAGTCTTAATCCAACATATATATATATATATATATATATATATATATATATATATATATATATATAGCTGCACTTAAATATATCAGTTAAATTGCATTGTTGCATGTAGTTTCATAAGAACTTAAGCTTAAAATTTCAATCATACTTGGCATTTTTGCGTCTTTCCAGGGTATTAGTATATAAAACGTATATCATTAAATATCTTGCTTTCGACAATTTTTTGATATTTCTAACTTATTTGCAAATACTACAACAAATTGAATAAATATTAATATGGCATAAAATGCAACCCAACATTTTTTACTATTATTAAACACTAGTATGTTTGGTGAAATGATCTGCACTTAGTTATTTAGCGTTGATCCTATTCATTCAACATAACTTCTTGCCACATAAACATTAAGTTTAATCAAACATTATTTGTTTAGGACACCAGCACATCTAAAAAATTTGCACCAAACCAAGGCACCAAACATTCCACGCTCATTAGTCATAATCTGCAATGATTGTTTTGCTGTTTATTAAACACTCAAGTTTTATCGATTGGTTTCTCACTCCGAATGAAATATTTGATCTAGCAGTTGTTGTGACCTGAAAACATTTGGAAGCAACTTGACGAGAAACTTGATTGAATGATCTAGAAGAGAGTATTGTCACAAACTTGGCAACAAAATTTGCCTGATCGCATTTAGACGAATAATTAAAGTATGGTAAAAATTAATGCCCTATAAATTTGTTTACATTTATTTGTTACCGCAGAGTGTGTTGTTGATGGGGCTCATTTAATGTTTCTTCAATCTAAAAACTTTCAACATAATTTTATTTACCCGCTACAACATTTTTCTTGAACAAAGGAGGCCTGTCAATGATAATAAATGGTCCCTATCTGATCGTCACGATTCATATGACAAAAAAGGAAAAAACTGAATAGGTTGAATTTTTATGCAAATCCACGAAATAAAATAAAATAATTAAAAATAATAATCAAAGCAATCAAAATCCTTGAAAAGAAGGGAAAATTATTAATATACTATAAAAATATAAAAATTGTAAAATATTACTTTTGGTGTTAAGGTATTAAGAATAAAATATTCCAAATGCTTGCCGGATTTTTAAATTTTGAAGTCAATTTAAGTCAAAACTAATATCAGAATTTTTTTTACAAGTGAACAACTTATTTTGTGTCTTTGTAAGAGCGAACTACATTGCACTTCGGTTGTTGATTTTTTTTGTTTATTATTGAAACTGCATTGCAAAACTTGTTTCATTTAACTAGTTATAAATCAAAAACAAATAAATAATAGTTGCATGAATACACACACACACCACACACACGCACACACAGACACACACACAAACACACACACATATATATATTATTTAGGAGAATATATATAGCGCCCATTCAATATTCTCACAGGTGCTCTCAAAAAATCAAACTTAATTATATACGTGCAAAATCAAATTCAAATGCAACTTCAACGAAAATAAAAATGTTTTTAAATCTTTTTTAAATGATTGAAAAGGAAGTCCAGGTTTTCTCAGTGATGCAGGGAGACTGTTCCACACAGGCAATTGCAATATCACGTGATCCAATCTGTAACCTTGCCTCTGGCACCCCTAAGAGATTCGTATCATCTGACCGAAAGCAGAAACTAGATACCGTCCCTTTTTTGGTAAATTTATTGGTTATGTAATCTGGTAACATTCCGTTTAAAGCCTTAAACATGATCACACCAACTTTAAAAATTATCCTTTTATCAATCGTCAACCAGTGCAAATCATTCAAAATTGGCGTAACGTGGTCAAACTTCAATTTACCAGCAACCAGCTTCGCAGCTCTATTCTGAACCGATTGCAGAATAGCAATAGATTTATCAGGTATTTTATACAACAAGCTGTTGCAGTAATCTAACCGAGATGTAACAAACGCTTGCACCAAAGTTTCCAAGGTTGATCTGTCCAACCAGTGCTTAATTCTATATAAATTCCGGAGACAAGATATGCATGAAGCTAATATCATCTTTATATGATCCTTCATCAATAATCTACTATCAAGACAAAACTCCCAAATTTGTGGCAGCCTGAATGAACGGTATGTTAACATCATTTACTGTGATGCTTACATTTAATTTTACCAACTGCTGCCATGTGCCAACCGGAAGCAGCTGAGTCTTGCACTGATTGAGTCTCAATGAGTTACATGACATACATTTTCCAGCTTCTGCTAAGCATTTGGCAAGTTTATCAACCTTAGCATTGAAAAAACCAGGATGACCAGTCACCAAAATTTGAATATCATCCGCAAATGCATGACAGGCAAATCCATGTGAATTGATAATTTTAAATACATCTGATGTATATGATATATTGTTATAATACTCGCTGTCGTAACCGATTTACGATGCGACGGGTTCAAATCTTCGATTGAATAGAATACTCCAAACAGTTATTAGTTATTAAACTTTATTTACAGAAGAAATCAACTAATCGTTTATTTCTAGCAAATTCAAATTAA